AAAAAACAGTTGCAAGACAGAAACAGTGATCTTTACAAAATTTAAAACAAAAGCCCCACCTACACTAAAGAAAGGGGACTAAAAATCAATGTACTTGCAAAAACAGGCATGGCAGAGAGGATATAAGGATGCAAGATTGATCCATGAGTTGCAAGAAACCACGTTTCTCTGTTTCTACCTGGAACTCTTTAAGGGTGCACCTTTAGCCAAGATGCAGTAGTCAATCATGAAAGCACTCTTGGCCCTATTTGGTACCAAATAAATCCACTTACTTAACCCTGGAAAGCAACAGCTTTGTATAAAGGGTGCTATGTTCTCCATGAAGAGTTAGAAGCCTAACTCAAAAAGCCCACAGCCCAAGAAGAGGGAGTTTGCAGTAGGGAAGCCAGTGCATCCCCAGGAGTCAAGAGAGCTGAGGCTTCTCTATGTCCCTTTCCTACATCATGACTGCAGGCAGTGAGTAGCAGAAGGGAAACCAAATGGGGCAGCAGAGGATATTGCCAGGCACACACTAGTCTCCTGACACTTTGCAGACAACCAGAAGGTCCCAAGACCCCTAAGCCAGGACTCCCAGACAAGCAGAGACCTTCCTTATGCTGATACTTCAGTACATGTCCCACATCCCAGATAAAGAGTGAAGAACAGCCTCCCTTCCCAGAGATCCCTTTGGGTCCTGAAAAGGCTACACTAGCCATAATAGCTTTGTTTTACGTATTACATGTACTATAATACTGAAAATTGGTCTGCAGTTATGTAATTGCAAAGGAAATGGCTCTGGTCCTGCTCAGCCCAGCTGAAAACACCATCCCACGACACCTCCACCGCAGACACAGCTCCCAGGGGCTGCAAGGAAAGAGCACCCGTCCTGCCTGCAAGCAGAGCAGCAGCAGAGGCAGAGCTGCTCAGGATTATGCTTATGCTTCACTGTCTGTCAGGTTTTCCATTGCAAACACTGCCGCCACAGTTTATAGCTTGACCATTTCAAGCCACATCCATGCAAAACTTGGCAGAGAGGGAGCTGCTCTGGCTCAGTCCCTCCCCCTTCCACCTTAAAGAAATCTGTCAGATTCCTGCTTTAAAGTCACAACATTTTGTTTCTGCAGCAGAAATACATTTTTTAAGTCACTCCACAAGGCTTTTTTGGTTAAGGTTTAAAAGAAGCCTATGTACTTGACAGACAAGACTTACATCAACTATTCACAGTTATTCTGAAACAACCCAGAAATGTTTAGATAGCATTGGACCAGGCAGGTTGCTTACACCATGCCTTTAAACAAATCACAGTCACTTCTAGCAAGAAACACAAGCCGTGTAACTACAGACTTCACAGACAACATCTGTAGAGACTGTAAACCTCCTTTTTTCTCCTGATACATTTGTGACTATTGCTACATGCAGATTTTCCTCCCCAGCTAAGGAAAAAAGAAAGGGATAAATATTCATGAGATACAAATGCATTCTGGGTCTCTTAAAATCAGAATTAAGGTCTAAAGGACAATTTCTTTGAGCCAAGATAGGTACTTGCAGCAAAAATCAAAACGCTGAAGCCTGAGAGCTGGTACATGATTGAATATCTTGCTCTGAAGTATAGAAATACTTCAGTCTAGCAAGGTTTTCTCCCATGGCGGTTGCAGCAAAAAACAGGTTATAGTGACCCAAAGGCTTCATGACCCAGATGAAGGGGTTTGGAAATTATTCACCACGTATGCTACAATGACCTTGCTTTTAAGTCATAATACGGGACAGAACTTTCAACTTCAAATGATGTCCAAGTCATAACTTTTACTGGCACAATAATGAAGACAATTTATCCAACTATTTCAGTGAAAGAGAAAACCAGTTATGAGACAAGACCCTACCAAATGGGTTTGTGTATATCACTTTGTGAGATATCTTAAATACTGCCTCTTATATGGGAAAAGTAACAGAGTAATACTATACTGTAAGTGCAACACACTGACTTGAGATGAAGTTAAAGTAGCTTGATGAAAACCAGATAAGACTTCAATAAATTAAATATCAGATTTTTTTCCCCATTCTACCTCTGCCCTATACACTGGCATTTGAAAAAGCCCAGCTTACTTCCTTTCAGGAGTGCACACAATTTGGAGGCAAACATCTGAAAAGATGGTAGCTCTAGCTCAGGCTCTAGAAGTGTGCAGAAGACATCCAGCAGGACATGAAACATGCACCATTGTTTGGAAACTAGTTTTAAGGTTCCTTGATTAAAAAGCATAGGAACATTTGACCAGTAAAGAGAAGGTGTTTCTTCCCTATGAAACCATGCAACAAAGCCAAATTAAGGTATTTCCCACTGCAGAAAACAAAAAGAACCATTTAAGTGTCCCTCAGCCCCAGCAGGCAAACCTATTCAGGCAAGGTTTTAAAATCAAGCAGTCATCTGTGCCTTTTCATATCTAACTACCCCAAAGTACAGTAAAAGAAATACCCAAAGGAGACATATGATATGCTATATGCATGTATATACACACAATGAAGTTTGAGATTTTGGCCCAGCAGCACATCCAACATATACTGTCCAGTCTGATGGGACTTCTCAGTGACAAGCTAACAAGGTATCCAGCCATTCTGCCTTCCTTTCACAGAAGGAACTGCCCCTGCTGCAGGTGACATCCATAACACCTTACATCACCTTTGTCTGGATCAGAAGCAGCACCCTAATTTATACATCACAGCTATAGTTTCACAACACTTTCAAGCCACCATAACAATCAGTCAGATTAATTACTACACATGTGCACAGTCAAATAATCATTTTTTTGAAAAGTGTATTCTTATGTTCTTAGAAGTCATAATCTCATCTCCTAGGTTTGCTTGCTTACACTAAGCAGTTTAGGAAGTTGACACTTGCAAAACTTTTTCTAGTTTAATTACATGCCATTCACAGGTTCAGCTATAGCTGAAGAGACAGGAAGTCATATTATTGAAGTCATTTGTGTGGTACCCCTAACCTAGGAGAGAGTAAGAGTATGTTTGGAGTCCCGTTCTTGGAACAACAAAACCATGATTTCCCTACCAGAACAGCTTCAACAGGATCCAAAGCAAGTGATGCTCTCTCCATCACCAATCTGTGACTTATGTATTTATTTGCCTTTTTCTTTTTTTTTTTTAAGATATACATATATTTATCTTACACATATATGAATATAAAGAGCAAGATCACAGCATGGAGTTCCAGGCTTCAGATTTCCTTCCTTGTTTACACAGACATTAAGAAATCTGACTGCCAAGTATTAGAATATGGTTTTAAGAAGTGTAATCCAAGTTCAAGGATGTTCCCTTAGAAGAGTCACATTTCTGGACCCACTAATTAAATTCAAATTCTGACATTCTCCATTTCTATCTCTCTCCCCATACCATGTGGTTCAATACAATATGGTGTGAACTATGCAAGTCAGAGAGGCCACATTAAAAGAAAACACAAAGGAACTGTAACTGGAATTCAGACACTTCTTGCATTATTTAACAACCCAATTCCCATGGCTCCATAAGTCATTAGCCAAGACAGGGATATCATGAATATAAATTGCCAGAATATAACCAGGCTTGCTCTGATGGCAGTAACACCCACTACTGACAATGAGGAGCCCCAGGCTTGGAAGGGAGGATGCTTGTTCACTAGCCCAGACACTGTTTAAAAAGTTAAGACATTTTTCCCCCTTCAATCATAACTATTGTTTTAAAGTTGGGCAGATAAACAGTTTGGTTTCTATTAGTTTTGCAAGTGATATAGCCAGCACCCAGGAGACAGGCATTTCTGTGCACACTAGCCAGTGCATTTCCACACACTATCCTTTTGGACACCACACTAAATCACCAGCCAGCAAATGACTGCATCACTTTGAGCCAAACAAGCATGAGGCTCTCATACAGGAGAGAAATTACCACTCTATTAAAAGAAGGAAAAAAAAAATACAATGCATGGTCATCTTTGTGGATAACCTGGCTCAAAGCTCTGGAAGCTGGATTTAAATCTCAGATCAGGGTGTCCTAGTTTCCCCAAGCTCTGGCGTGCCCAGCATGCTCCAGAGCCAGCCGGTTGTAGAGCCCTGCATGTGGAGGTACCACAATGTGAGCGTTTGCTTGGACCGCTCCAAATGTCAGCAGCTCCTCTGGATGAGGACACACAAGTCACGAGTGGGCTGGAAATCAGTCCTGGACAACAGCTCTGGATTAATACACAAGGAGTGCTGGAGGGAAGGAGGGGGAGCTGCCAAAGACAGGCAGTTATTCAAACCAGCTGCTAACCAACTCCAACCACTCACACGTACACAGTCTCCCGCATCTGTTCTGCCCAGCTCCAAGCTACAAGGCATCCAAGAGTTAAAGCATACAAAAGACATCTATACAAACACTTGCCAAAAGTCTCATTTTCCAAGTGGAAGCTGGTTGTTCCACAAATGGCAGAAGAAAGGATTTCATCTTGCTTTTACATGACAGCCTCTGCCTCCTTGCCTCAAAATTCCCCAATTAACACTTCTGCAAGAAGTTTTGAAACTGTGCACGGCCACGTATTTATCTACGCACATTCTCTCCCCTCCCTACTGAGCTCTGGGCCATGGGCTAGGCTGTCAAGCCAAGTTTCATCCCAAGCAATTTTTAAACACTCATCCTATAAATCCTCCGAAAAGGGAGTTAGTAATGGAAATACTGACAGAAACTTGAAGAGACAGCAAGGCAACTATAGCAGCCTACTATACATCAGCTTCAGTAGGTGCTGATCTTTCCCTCCTTCCCCTTCATTTTCCATTAGTGTACCTTGGCTAATTAATACACAAAACCTATGAAACATTCTTACAGTAGAAGGCAACATTTGGCCCCCAGCCCAAATCAACATTGAGAAACTTCAACATCTACTGCCAGACATAGTAACTGTACCAGATGGAGCTAACATACAGCTACAAGTAGTGATGAGGAAACTGAAAGCAGAGGAACACATGCAAAAATCAAACCATTTGAAGAGGGAAAACCAGCAAATATCACTTACCGCTTTCATTTTTCTCTATGACATCCACTACTTCTCCAGCCTGGAGGCTGATCTCAGAGTTCTCCTGCTTCTCATAGTTGGACACCACCACATATTGCTCCAGGATCATGGGTTCAGAGCTAGCATCAGCACCTGGGGAAGGGAAAAAGCAAGCCGTAAGCCAGCTTCCAGCCATGGCTCCTTGAGAGCGACCTCCGTCCATCCGATTCAGAACAGGCCAACTTGTCACCAGAGCCAAGCGAATCAGCAAACAACCCTGGCTCGCAGCATATCCCCAAATGGCTGGCCATATAGAAACAGCCTCCTCTGGCCCACAACCCAGCAGCACAGAGGGACATTGGAGAGAATAAGAAGAAAAAAGGGGAGGAAAAAAAAATATAAAAAGAAGCCAAAAACGTGAATTAGTTGTACAGTTTCATGATGGATTCTGAAAATAAACCTCTTCCCAACATGGTTTCCACAATCCTTGCTCCCATTCAAAGAGAAAAATCCTGGGCAGAAGCAGTATAAATCCACAGCTGAGCCATCCCCCCAGTAAACCCAAAGAAAAAACAGCTCTCCCCTTGGCGGCTCAGCTCCTTCTCCACTCTAAAGGCTTGAGCTGAAAGTCAAGAGGGGGCTGTAGATGCCAATCATATTCGTCTGCACTGCAGCCCTTAAATAGAAACACATGAGCGGGACTGAAAGAGAGGGAGGTGGGGTGGAGGGAGCGAGGAGAAGGCGGGGAAGAGTGTTTACTTGAAACAGAAGAAGAAAAAAAGTTATAGCGCCAGATCCCTGCTCAAACGCGGCCACCCCCCGCCTGCCCCCCGCCAGCTCCGCAGTTCCGCATTCCCCGCGGCAGAGCAGCCCTGAGCGGGACAAGGGCACAGCAAGCTCCTGCTCCCCCTCTCCATCGCCCCTCGGTGCCTTTTTGGAGCTCTTGGAGCCAGCCTCCCCAGTTGTTCGGTTTCTCTTCATAGCAGCTTTTGGCTGTCAGAGCCACTTATGAATGAGAGCAGGCTCTCACACAAACAGGGGCCAAGAAAGGTGCAAAATAATTGTTCTCCTCCCTTCCCCCATACTGCTGATGTTTCTTCTTGTTTTTTTTTTTTTTTTTTTTTTTTTTTTTTTTTTTTTTTTTTTTTTTTTTTTTTTTTTTTTTTTATTTCTGACTTTTTCACCCCCAAACCAAAATCATGCATTTCGAGATGGAGTCACGAGGCCGGCACACCACTGTGCCAGATGTGGAGGGAGACCTTGTGCCTCTGCTTGCCGTATGAGACGCATCTCGGCTCTCGGATGCAACATAAACAGCGCAGATGGGGCCTCTGCACTCCCAAGCCCAGGCACAAACTGATTGTGCTCTGCCTGGAAACTCCTTGAAAAGCCATGAAAACCTTTTGGACATCAGGGTTTCTTAACCTGCCCTCATTTTATAGTCTTCAAAGTGTCATACCAGAGCAAAAAGCACCTACAATTTACAAAGTAAGAGCCAACGTGCCTGAATGCAAAATTATTTTACAGGTTACCTGAATTACAGTAGTTTGGGACACCAGCATTATTATATATTTTACATATTAAGAGGCAGTCGCTCTGGATTAAGATGCGGACGGAAAGGGGAAACAGAGGCAGATGTAGGACTTGCTGAATGTCCCATTTCACATGACAGGGGCAGAGCTAGGAGCAGACTCCAGGTCTCCTGGACTTCTGATGACAAATTGGCTACAAGAGACGGGAAGGAATCAGCATGGTCTGAAACTGTCCACCAGAAAAGTCAAGGGACTGACAGCCAAGAACAGGATGCTGGGCCCTGTATTTCCAAACCCAGCATGTTCATATGCATTTGGGCTGGAGATGTAAAGTGATTCTACAGACAAGTAATTAGCATCCCTGCCAAGAAAGAGGTAAAGAATGCATCAGCCATTAAAGCAGCATCCTGTGAAATGAAAATCCTAGAACAAAAAGCAATTAATTCAACTGTTTCCTGAAAGGAAGCACTATCACAATGCCTCCCTTTGGACCAGATTGAAGAAATCCAGAAAATTAGAAGACTTCCTTGCTCCCTAAGCGTGCCTCTGACTCTCCTCAAGTTACATAAGTTAATTTTCTTTAAAGAGGAGTCATCTCCTCTAGAAGTTTGTGTTTAAGAGATTTAGCTTTTATATAGATAGTTGAACCACAGCCAGTAGTAGGGATAGGGGGAGAAGACCATGAACTGACAACATGGAAATTTATATTAAAAATTTTCACCATAGCTGTCCATTCCAAATAAGCATCACGTTTCTCTTCATGATGAATCAACTTGACTTATACATTCTGGTTTAAAACAGTGCTAGTTGGGTAGCCTAGAGTGCAATAAGATGCTTTCCCCTGTTTCACACTGTTTCCCCCAGAGTCCTTCATACAGTGCAAAATGTAGCAGCATTATAATCTTCCTTTGACCTATTTATACAAGTAACACCTACAACCCCTACTTCATTTTAGTCTTCTTTAGATGAATACAAGTTCTTGAAACGGAAACAAAAGCCATCATGGCTTTATGTTTATGCATGTGCACCAGCAGAGAATTCCACGTGCAGAAAAGAAAAATGAGGGACCAAACAGTGGCAAGGGGAGCAGGGGACATGCAGAAAGGTAATTGCTAAACCCACAACCCAAATGCCTTCTTTCCTCTAACCTCCTAGACAGTTTTCATGGGAGTAGAATAAGAAAAAAAAAAAATCCCAAACACAGCACTGGCTTGGTGGCAGGAACAGTGATGCACGTGTCCCTGCTGGGAACAAGGAGAAGACCAGGCTGGAGCGCAGGCTGGCAAACACCCCACCGGCAGCCACTGAGGCCAAGCCAGGAACCGTGTGCCAGGGGAGTGCCCTTGCCAGGAAACATGGAGAATCTGCACTCCAAATCCACCACAACTCTGGCTTTAAAAAAACCCCACAACAAAACCAAAACTAAACAACATAAAAATAAACAAACCAAACCAACCAACAAAACAAACAAACAAAAAACAACAAAAAAGCGTGCCACAACCCACTTACAACAGTCCAGCAAGACAGGTTATATCTGCATACAGATATCTGAAATCCAGCAAGACTTTAAAATTCTCGTTCCTCTGTCCTGCCTTGGATAAGCTACTCACTGCAGGAGGATTTCTTTGTCGCTACAGTGGCTGGAGGAACGTATACAATTAAGACATTGTTTTAACAGAAGCTTGTTTAAGTGCTACAGGGCTCCTATTAGCACCAAAAAACCAGGGTGATAAATTCCTTGGTCTAGGAAGTAACCAAGGTCAAACAAACTTGCTTATTTACAGGTACAGCAGATCATGCCTAGAGGATATCCTTCTTTTGAGGGGTGGGGTCCCTGTGGCTCCCAGAGTGATGCTCATCCAGGATTAGGTACTACACATTGGGGAAGATTTCAGTAACAGAGCAAAGAAAGGAAAAAGAAGAGGAGGAAAGAGGACATAGATCATTCCAGTAATCAAAAGCTTTAAACATTTTCTGGGTAGCCTAGTTTAGGTTGTTACTACATTCCCTTCAGGCACAGTCAGAAGGGTAAAAGACTTTACTCCTCCTCAGCCTTCCACCCCCACAAGCATCTTTAGATGAATTACTCCTCAATGACACTTAGGATGCCCACAACGTTGCTGGTACACTATGTCAGACTCCAGGCTTGCCCCCAAAAAGGGATTCAAAAGAACAAGACAGGCAACACCACAGGGAGCACAGCACCAATTACACCCACTGCCGTGGGCGCTTCCGCATCCCTCCAATTAGTTCAGGTCTAATTTGTACTACAGGACACAGTGGGCTCAGTGTGAGCACACCAGAGAAGAGGGATGCAGAGTGGAGCGAGTTCCCCAGCAAGCTCACATGCAGGCTGCAATGTTGCCCTGACATGAGAGCCCTACTTTTTTAAAAGCATCTTCAGCCCAGGCAGGAGAAATGGAGAGGATAGGATAAGACTGATGTGCCAGGTAAAGGTCCCCCCAAGAAAGCAGAATTAGTGTTTTGGTTTAGTTCCAACTTGCAAGCCCTCCCCAGAGCAGAGCACAAGACAGATTGCTGGCTGAAATAAGAGTTTGCTTGCCTCTCCATTTCTTTTTGCCTCGAGTCCGTTTCCTGGTTAAAGTCTTGAGGATACCCCTCCTCCTCTCCATAGGGCTCCACTTTACAATCCTCCCGCTCCTCACCTCAGCGAGTCTCTTCCTGGGGCTGAGCAGAAATGTCATCGGAGCTCGTCATGCCCTTCAGAGCTGGCACTATTAAGTGACACAGTGTCCCCCTCACCAGGCAGCGAGGAGGGAACATCATTCCTCCTGCTGTACTCGGAGACCAGCAACTACTGTGAAAGCCTCTTAAATAAGTGCACACAGTACCCCTTCCAACAACTTCATCCTCCTCCTCCTGTGTTGCAACAGCTAAGACCTATGATGGTTTTGCAATAGCCAAAAATTAAAACCACCAACTGGACTCCAAAAATAAAATCATCTGGATATGGAAATCTGAGACTCATGATCTTTGCCAGATTACTCTGTTGTTATCAGGCTATAAACATGTCTGTTCTTTTAATCCATACAGCACACAGGCTTTTATATTGCCCTTTTATGATTATCAATCAAGTGTTTACAGATTGAGACTAAATGAATTAGTACTGGGCTGGTCAGTGGAAGCTCTGCAGAGGCAGCCAAAACCACAGAAACGGTCAGTGAATGCCATAAGGGTGACTCACAGCTGAACAACCAACTGGCAGGTAGTCCAGCTCTTCTGACATGGGCACAACTGAGGACACGTGCAGGGTCTGCACACAGGGGTGTCTGGCAGACATGTCCCCAAGTGTCACGGCATTCCATATGACAGTGTCAGAGCTCTGCACTTTTCCACGCATAGCGAGGAGTAACTGTGGTAGCTTGGATCTAGAGCTGTGGTTTCTTGTTAAAGCCAGTTCTTGAAGGGCAAACCTTTATGAATCTCTGAAAAACTCCTTTTGGGGAAGGAGGAAGAGAAAAAAAAAAATCCCAGAATAGCAGCAAGCCTACTTAAAATCCTCAAATCTGTCTAATTCCTCACAGCAATCATCCACCCAGTTTCCCCTAAAAACTTTACCTCTTTTCTTTCTTATCAGAAGGACCACATGACTATGATAAATAAACATACTTAAAATTACATGTTTTCCTTGAGCCTCCACCAGTGATTTATCCCAAAGTATTTTAAGATAGAGAGCTTAGGTCTGCCTAAAAATTGGGTTAAGTGTCTATTGCACAAAAGATAAAGCAGAGTTTGCCATGTAGTGCACACAAGAGTATACAAAAGTTCATGATCTCGCAGGGGTCTTGGAAAAGGAGTTCCTAAAATAACCAATTCCTAGAGTAAGCAGTAGGCTGAGACTGATGAAGCCTGCTACAAATCTCTTTTGGGAACAATATGGATTCAGATCAAAACTGTGTTCCTCAATCTAGGATCTCTTCTATTCAGTGAGGGGTTTTTGTTTTGGTGTTTTGGATTTTTGTCCTTCTAATATTCTAATGTGCCCTAAGCAGCTGGGGCTTTGACTCATATCCTGGATACTCCTGCACTCCAGCCTATCACTATTCAGCACCCTTCCGACTTTCCAAAATTAAGGATATATTTACACATCTATTATTCCTGAAGGTAAAAGACCACTCACAGCTTAGAGCAATAGTAAAGGGGATTCATCTCCAACCATTCCACCAGACAGCTATCCCCCCAGTCCTAGTATTTAACTTCAGAGCTCATCAGCTCTTGGTATAGCAGACCTGAGCCACAAAGCTTTAGAGACAGAGACAAAAGTTCATCACTATCCACAGTTACTACAGAAATTCAGTACAAGTCCAGTCTCAAAGTCTTAGCAATAAAAGAGTCCTGGCAAAAACCCTTTGCCACATTAGAGAAGAAAATAAATACTTGGGCAAGTCTATCAAATGGGTTATTAATAGACTATCATTTCTGTAATTTCAGAAGCGGGTGACACCCTGCTATTTAACAGAAATAGGGTGGAAAGCAGAAAGGGAATGGTTTTGATCTGACCTTGTAAGTGATTCAGAAGACCCAAAGCCAGAGAAGTTTGGCCTAAAACCTTGTCCAAATCCCAAAGAATGTCCAAGAATAAAACAGGGTTGAGCACTACACACCCAGTGATGGCCAGGTCAGCACGCAAATCCTCTCACCCTGGGTTAGCAGCCATGATTAACATACTTTCTCCCTAAGTGAGCATCCATCCTTCCACCTTCCTCAACTCCACAGTGCTCATGTGCTCTGCAAGCCTTTCAGTATATGGGGCAATAGCTTCTTTGCAGAGTAGCCAAAACTCAAGTATGTCTTATCTTTTTGGCTAAACATGCCAAAATCTGGTGTAGATGGTAACTCCATGAGCTGCATTAACTCCCTCCTGGCACCCTGAGTTGCTGCTACAAACAATTACAGGGGGCCCACGTCAACAGCATGCATTGCCACCAAGAAAAGAGTATGACCACCCTTTACAGCAGCAGAAAATTAACCCAATGCCTGGATTCACTCCCCAGCACAAGACATGTGTAGTATTTTCTAGCACTTGAAGAACCAAGATCTAGGTTTCAAGAGTTTGGGACAAGTAGCAGCTTTAAGGTAGACTGTGGCTTCCAGCACTGGCATGTGTGTGATGCACAGCTAAAACCAGCAGCAAAACACAACCCCTAAGAGGAGGGCCTCAGGAATGAGCTTGGCCCATGGTAAATGGCAGGCACTCTCTCAAGCAAGTGCTCCAGTTCAGTTCTTTCTTCACGGTCCTCAGCAGCATTTCCAATGAAATCCTGAAAAATTCAGTGCTGACCTTTGCCAATTGGAGACTTAGTCTCGAGATTTTTATTTTTTATTTTTGATCTGCTAGGTTTTAAAACTGAGCCAAGAAAAATTAGAGGCAGGAGGGTGAAAGTAAGAAGTTGAGTCCTCTTTCCACTCCTTCTTGGAAAGTTGGCTCACCAAACAGCGATTCCAACCAACTAGGTTACAGGTAGCAACAGTTAAGAATACTCAAGTATTTGCACACAAATCTGTTAAACTGCTTGGAGATTTTCACACAGCTGCCAAACTGAGTCTTCCACCAGGCTGAAGTCACCTATATACTCTAGTATTTGCCCTAGTTCTGCTCAGTAGTTCAACACATGGCATGAAGCAGAGTAGCCAAGGAGTTTAACAGCAGTCAGAGTAACCCATATAGTGCCCCACCACAGCACCTCTCCAGCTGTGGCTGTATGGCACCCATCTTTTTCCAGAGTAGGAAATTAAAGGACTTGCAATTCTCAGTTAGACTCTCCACTTCATGGAGCAGGTTCATGACCTCAGCTAGAGCTTGGGCAGCATGAAACTGTCTCCAAGCCACAGCCTAAGACACATATATGAGTCTTTACTACATGGGTAAAGATTATATTCAAATTCAAGCCTGCTTTGCCAGCTTAACACATCAGGGTACAGCCCATGGCAGATCTGTACTGAAGAATAGCTGCTTTGGAAGCTGGGTATTTGTTTGGATGAGAAGCAAACTGAAAGGCCACAGGAACTAGAAGAGCGTGGAGAGCTAAGAACCTGTCAAATGTACATAACACTTCTGAGCAGCACTATATATCAACATTCACCTTCTTGAGCACCATGCAATGCAATTTATCACTTATATTTGCACTATCATCACACACAGATTTTTTTTATGCTAAACTAGCAACATGCATTTAGCTAAAAGCAGTCAGCAGAAGGGAAAAAATTCGTATCTATTTAAGATTTTGCTTCCTTGCCTTTCAAGAAGGCTAAAAACTTTGGCATTCAGTTTGCCATTTTATATACAAACACAATGAAACAGTCCCAATAGATGTATTGAGTCAGAGAAACACTACCTCACCCCCCCAGCCAGGTAATCTGAAGGGTTCTTGTCATTTTTCCTATGGGACACCACTTCTGTCTCCTCCTCAACATGTTTCTCTCCTGCTCAGTCTCGTTCTGTTTTTGTCTCAACTTCCCAGTGACCTGTCAACCAAGAGGCTCCTGTGACTAAATACTTCAGATATTTCTGCACTTTTATATCCAGCTATCACCCTGAAATTAGACCTATTCTGCTAAGATGAGGCAGAGCACACCCCCCCAAGGTTATATTCAACTTCTGTCAAGGATAGTATTTCTGGAATCATAGCAGTATTACTCACTAAAAACTCCAGGCGAGTAAGCACTCATCTGCTGAGGATGGCGGGATTTTGTTCACATACTTTGAACAGGGCATGAACTTGAATATTTACCAAATGTGGTATGGAAAGCAGCAGGAGCGTTTCCATCTTTCCTTGCCCCAAGACCTATGTGTAGCCTTAACTGACAGGGTGACCAGCCCAGCATCCTGTGCAGGCACAGGGTCTATCTCTTAGTTTTTGCCTTGTATGGGACTACTTCTCCCCAGACCTTGACACCTCATCTAGAAGTTGTTCCCGTGCTCCCTCCTCCTTCCCAGCTCCTTGCATTAAGAGACTGATGCTCCCTTGAAAATTTTGCAACTTGGTCAGAGTCCCATCTTATTCATGTAACACCCTTACTATTTACTGTGGAAATGCAAAAGAGCATTTCAGAAGGATAGGGAGCATGTAGTTGTGTTTCTCTGCTTTGTCTTGACTCATAAGATTTTTCAGTTTTCCTTCTCCTCTCCTCCATCCCACACAGAATAGTGAGAGTACAGCTGTGCAGGTACTTAGCTGGGGCCAGGGTCAACACACCACAAGAGGTTGGGTGAAGCTGCCTTGGATTGTGGCTTTGAGTTGGGCAAGGAAAATAAAACACAGCAAACTACTAACCACTGCTAGCAGCAACATCAAGGTGAGGTAGTCACCAGAAAAGCAAAGCTCTTCCTTGTTAGAAATCGTGCATCATGAAAAAACAATTTTTGTGACAAGACAACACATCCTGGTATCCACTGTCAGACTCACATTCAAGATAACTCCAAAAATCACACACAGCTTGAACTACAGAATTCTTTTTTTAATAGCATGCAGAACACCAAGATGCAAGAATTTACCTGGAGTGATGCTCTTTTTTGGAGTCTCAGACAAACTGGACATCCAAACTTGAAATCCAATTATAGGGCAGCCATGAAAACAGAAAGTAATTAGAGACACAAGAAAACAGTGAGAAAACAGTCATATCAGAAAGTCTGAGAGTTAGTAAACACAGCTTTGAAAGATACATTAAGTTTTTCTTAAGAGTAGTGTTGGCATGATGGGGACTCAGAGGAAGGTCAAGTCATAAGAACCACCCAGTTAATTTTTATGTTTTAGGGGATTTGCAGAACTTAGGAAACTGATCTGTAGATGACCCAATTCTGAGATCTCAGAATAGGATATGCCCCGAGCTTATTCCCAATAGGACAGGGAACACATACCAAGAGACAGTTTGACTTATTAAGCCTCAGATCTGCAAAACTATTTAGCTTTGCAGCTGTTAATGATCCCCAAAAGACCAACAGACAACTCACAGAGACTGAGCTTAGCAAACACATGTAAGTTTCTACAAACATCTTATTACCCTGGAATAACATTAAGGAAAATAACAATAGACAAATAATGTTCCCTGGAAAAGAGTAAAAAGCTCCAATAAAGGTACATCTGAAGTATGACTAGAAATTCCATCTTTTTCGCAAATGTTTGAGACAGAGATCTGGTTAAAGAGAAAGTTAATGGAATTGCTACCAACAAGGTCAAAAGATATTCCTCCCCCTCTGTGAAATGGGATGTAAATACTTGGCTTGGGATTCTGGAGATAATCCTCTAATGTTAAGTGCTGCTTTTTTTCTTGAATGCACTGGACGCATGTTTTAAAACTTAGCAGGTTTGCCTCCATTTTTTAAGTAAGAACCAGCAAGCATTCCCCTTCTGTGGGATGAGGGAGCAGAAGGGCAGCTGTTACTCTCATATTGCATGGGAGAAGAGATGGAGGAGAGGTGTTTATATGACACTCTAAGACTCTAAGACTTTCCTAAATCTGATAAGCAACTCCAAAATGAAATTTGAAAAAAAACCCCACAAATTATTTACAATGAGGAACCCTGATCTGGACCTATCAGTTTAATAACAGAGAAGATGTACCCTTCAATGAGTTGGAGAGAGAGGCAAGCTATACTGGTGGCCTTGTCTATTTGACTCGTTACTGTCTTCTGAACTGCAGAATATCTCCAAGACAGTCAAACATCAGGAACAGATTTTTAGTACATATATAACTGAGAAATTGCTAGCATGATACAAACCTTAAGAAACAGCTCTCAAACTTTCCCAATGGAAACCAGAAGTCCAAGAAACACATTGCTGTATTTCCTCAGCACTAGGAGAATGGTGAGGTTTTGAAATCCTTTCTTTAGATCAGGGACACAATTTTCATTGTGTAGAACAAAACTGGAATTCAAATGGATTCAGTATTTTGCTTACTTTACAATAAGCTCTCTATAGTGGCAGCCTTGAGAAAAATTTGAAGTCTTTCAACCACCTAACTCCCAAACCCATGCACTCCACTGTCACAATACCACAGTTTTTGTAGTGTAAGTTACAATAATTTACTTCGGACTACCATTTAAGAAAGAATGAAAAAGGCTCTGCACTGGTAGAGTATAACAGGAAATCATCTGGCAGAGTAACTTATGGTGTAGCTTATGGAGGGAATATACAGCATGTTTCTATTACAGACTTGGGGCACGCACAGAAAAGGGTGTGAAGGAGTTGTTGTCAGCAACTTGTCTATTAGCTTTTGAATAGACTTCCACTGCCTTCGGGAACAGGATTATGAACTTCACTCAGCTGTCAGATCTTTTTCCAGACAGAAGAACCTGAGTACAGCAGTGATAAATCAAGCAGATGATGTATTGTAGGAGCAACTGGGAAGATGTCAAAGTTTGCCCCCATCCAAGCTGGCAGCAAAAGGCTGAAACACCCAATAATTAAAGACAGAGGTATTAAGTTGCACTTACCACAAGCTTAGGGCTACCCTAGATCTGTCTGCCAAAGAAGAGAGGGAGTTTAAACCTAGATCCTCAGTAGCCATATCTACAGATATCCCATGTGAGATCTCAAAGAACCAAACTCACCATAAAAACCCAACTCTGTTAGCCATTATCAAATAATAATAAAAAAATTGTAATTTTTTTCTCCTTGTCAAAACTAAACCAGAATAAAAGGGCAGTATAAGTATTAATTGGTAAACAATCCCACAGGTCCACAATGTGGGCCTCTCAGCCCAGGAAGCAGCATAAAAGCAGCAGCACTTCTCAGTTGCCCCAGCCCGACAGCAGCTAGATGTGGATGAGGTTGCTTCTGAAGCAGAAGACAGCCAGCATATTTCAGCTGCTCCTGCACATCTGCTTAGCATTCAACTTCCTTCTTGTGATTTTTTTTTTTTTATTCCAAGACGTTTAAGCTCTAATTGCTACCAGCTTTTAAGAGTCCCCCCTACAAATAATAAAAATATCAGACATTAGTGATAGATTCCACTTCACAGACAGCTCAAACGAAGAGCTGCGGCGGGAGCCAGCATATGGGGAGGAGGTCAAAGGCCCCAGAAGCATGCTGTGCCCAAGCCAACAAAACACAAGCTTTGAATGGCCCTGGGTTTTCCCTTTAGGACAGGGTTTTACTGGAATTCTGCATGGGGCTTGGAGCTGGTTTCCAATGGGATTGGTAACGGTAAACGAACAAACCCTCGCTTCCTGCCACTCCTCTCCCCTGTTGCCACACAGCTGAGCACTGGCTGGTCTCAGATGACTTGGAGGTGGGGGGAATCTCAGTATTTAGAAGGGAGGTAAAAGTTGCCTGAGTAAGGCAACGGCATCCCAATTCTGCTTCAAACACCAGTCCCCACAGCCGTTGTTGCCGACTTCAGCTGGAGCCAGAACAAACCCTTTCAATCGGAATTATTTTTAAAAGCTCAAAAAAACACGGATCCATAAATTACTGCTAAGCCACAGGGCCAAGGCAGTTGTGATGTGCACAGAGGAGGCTTTCCTGTGGAGCCACACTGCACAGAAATAGCAGCAGAGCAGGCGTGTCACTGGAAGCAGCTGCTGAACCCCCATCCCATCGCTTCCAAGCTGCCAACACAGAGTTGGGCAAGCCCCAGATAGATTGACTGAGTTCCTCAGGTGTGAAAGAAAAGGAAGAAGTTGGAAGAGTAAAAAAGCTTTAAAGACAAAATTTAGTTGGTTGCTGTGGTGAACATGAAACAGATTATTTTAGATTTCACCAGAAGCTTTTCTGCTGCCAGTGAGACTGGTTTGTTTGCTGCTCCTCCCACCACTGGCAAGAACACAGGCACCAGACTGCTGGGGACTAATGCTTTATGCTTGTGATACAGCCCCACTCATCTCATTTTAGCAGCAGACTATTTGTCTTGTGTGCAGTTAGAGCAGAATGAGCTTCCAGAAAAACCTACAAAAGCTGAAGCCAGTCTACAGTCAAATGCACGAGCTCAGTGCTACCGAAATCCGGGAGATGCCACATTCAGGGTTCATATCAGTATTGCACATCCAGCTGGGTTCCTGCTCCAGCAGGTGCAGAGAAACTCCTCCACAGGCATTTTAGCAGCAGCTACTGATGCAGGTTCCCTTTTGTTAATAACACTGCCTAAAATGTTTAGTTCAATGTTGAGTCCAGGATCCATTATTTAATACTGCTATTAAATAATTGATTCTGCTAGGCCAGAAGGGACACTCTCCTAAAGATTCACAGGTTGAATGCTGCTGGGGCTATAAGGGACCTTTATAACAATATTTTTTTAAACTAATGTCTGTATGGTTGTCCAGCCTGTTAAGCTACATATTTTCCAACAACACTTCTGCAGTAATTCCAGGGAATGGGATCATACTAATCATGTGTCTCAGTGTGACTGTAGTTCTGGCTGTGTAGCCCTTGCCCCAAATGATTTCTTTGCATAGCTGAGAAGTTAGCTTGGGCCAAAGACAGGTCCCAACAAGTGATCTGGATGTGGCTACCTTGCTTTGGAGGGCAAAGAGTTTAATTACACAGGTATGACCTGTTCCATAGAAGTTGCCTTCCATAGGAGATAACATTCCTAAGTCCATTTAATTAATAAAACTCTTTTGTTCTCATGAAGCTCTACCTTAAACATCAACTGGGAACACTAAAATCTCCCAGCTCTTAAGGTGCACCTTAAATTACCGTGAAAACAATTATAAGAACAAGTGACCATGCTGAAGAGATGCTGACATCTCAGAGACTGCAGCTTTCCAACAGTGATCAATTTTGTAGGTCATTAGTCCTCTCCATGAGAAGGTACTACTGGCTCTGTTACTCACCACCACAAGTGGTGAGCACTGCTGACTGTTTTGTAGACTTATTTTCCTGACTTCTATACTTCCTGGTTTAATTGGAAGGTTGAAAAGAAGTCAAAAAAAAAAAAAAAAAAGGCAATATAATCAGTGATTCTTCTTCTTTATTTCTCCCCTGGAGCTAGGGGAAATAAATGCTGCTTCTGAAAAATGAGGGTGCCCTCAGCCCAACAGTGGTATTTGGTAAGTCAGCAAGCAGCAGGCTGACCACACTGTTCCTTAGAAGTGTCCACTTCCCAGAATTGGCCTAGAGCCATGTTTGCTGCAATGTTCATGACGTATGGCGGAACAGAAAACAGAAATCAGAAATTAAGCCTGTATTTCAATCTACGTTTTGGAAGACAAGCCTGCTAAAGAGTTAGTATAAATGAAGCGCCATGTTGTCCTGGGAGCTCAGGTGGGACACCTTACTGCCCCGAGCAGGTAAGGAACTGCAGAGAGCCAAGCTCAGTCTACTCAATACAGAGCTTCTTGCTGGGATTTTGCCTCCAACAACATCCTCCTCCTCCTCCTGAAAAGGTGAGGCTGGCCATCCATACAACCAAGAGCAGAAAGCTCAGTGAGGAACCCTAAAACTTTGTGTTCACCCATACCCTTGTGAGCCATTTCCAAAACCTTCATCCCCCAGGCCCATTGACCATCCTCCATCAGCCTGCTATGGGTTTCTCTCCCCTAGCCCCTTCCCCTTCAGCTGGGGCTTGACACTTTGGTTAAATGGGAAGGCAGTAAGATGCAAT